ACCATTTCATATATTATGATTGTCGTACATGAGTTAATACATGAAAAACACTTGCTGCTATTAGTATTGGACTTAAACAATCTCAGTGATATGTGATATAATAAGGCAAATAGGTTTACCAGGAACTTGGATTTTCCTTCCCCCTCTCAAAAATTTGGTAAAGCTACATAAGTGTTGTTAGGGTCAAATTCTCACCTTCCCTTCACTAGTTCTTGGAAAAAAGAAACTGATAGGGATAGCTTTGATTTTTTTTGCAGTTTGATTGGTTCAATCATAATTGTGATTGGATTTTACCCTGTGATGTGGGAAAAAGCTAAAGAAAAGAAAATAAGCAAAGAGGATGATGTAGTGACATTCGAGTCATCAAGTGAAAAGGTTCCTTTGTTGCGAAACAAAGCAGAAGATGTAATGAATTCTGCATAGAGACTCAGGCTCTTCAGCTACATGAGTAAGAAAACCAATAAGTTCACCCAGGAAATTAGTGCAAAGCTACCAGAAAACAGTTCCTGCGTTTTCCTGATTTGTTGAGCCTGCTCAGTGAGATTGCCATCTCGTAGTTACTTCAATTTTATTCTGTTTGCTGAGAAAAATTTATCCCAGTGATTTGCATTACATTCTGGTAAAGTTTCTTTTACTGTCATCAGTCTTGAAACGAAAACAAACCAAGCTGATATTTGGACAAAAGACATACAATACAGTATTTTGATACCATAGTCATGAAAGAAAAAAGAAAGGAAAAGAAATGGCACCAATTGTGCAAGGGCAGGCTGTATGTTGTTAACCACAGAAAATTGTCCATTGTGTTTGACATAAATGTGAAATCAATTTTGTTGTAATATCATCATTTGATTCCATTGTTATCTCTTTTGGAATCATCCAGCCAAAAGGTTTCTATAAGAGATGATTCAGAAAATGTGGAACCTAACAATGTTGCTAAAGCAAACTATAGTTGCAGCATTGTCTGCAATTGACACTTGCTTAAATCAGATTCTTCAAGAGAATTGATTTTTATGTTTTCTTTTTAGAATTCCATACAAAAATCAGATTTAGGCAGAGGAAAATACCCCGAAACACACATTTTTTACTGTTAAATTGTAAACAAAAATTAAGGTACAAAAAGGAAAAGGTAACAAATTAAAGAAGAGACTTCGGAGAAAAAAGGGGAAAGGTTCTGTAGTTTAGAGTAAAACAAATCCATTCCTTTGGGAAACTCTTTTATCTACTTTCTTCATCCATTTGTCCACCAAACATTTGCACTGAGGGGTTGATTTAATAACACCTTTTGAGAATCCACTAGCTATTTCACTTACTCAAGGAGTCATGTGGGATATAAAAATCTTGAGTTCTTCCTTGCTCTTTTGTTTTCCACAGATTCTGATATCTGATATCTCTAATCTCCTTTCCCATTTCATGCTAATGAAATTCTTATTCCATGCTGATGGCTGGCAGTTTGTTGAGTCTCCCACTCCCTCCTCAGTTCTCTTGAGATTCTTCTCGCTGGTCTTTGTTGGGTCTATAGGATGCTTTAACCTGTAATTCATCTTGTGTGCATGGTGCCTAAGTAAAGCAGGACCTCTCTATGTTTCCATGGTCAAGCCATTGGCTATTATTTTTGCTGTTGTCATGGGAGTTTTTTTTCTAGGGAGATGCTCTTTATCTTATAAGGTATCAGAGAGAATAAACTTTTACTGTTAACTGATTTTCTTTCATATTTTGAAAAAATATGAGAGGAACTAATGAGGATTTTCTGCTTATTTGCAGCATGATTGTTGCAATCGTAACTGTGACTGGATTTTATACTGTCATGTGGCAGAAAGCCAATGAAGAAGAGAAGTCAAGGGAGGAAAATGGGCTGGGAATTTGGAATCAAGTCAGAAGGTTTCTTTGTTGCAAATCAAAGTAATGATGTAAGTAATTCTGTGTAGGGACTCAGAGACTCCACGCTTAAGTTTGTTAGAAAACCAAGAAATCAACCTTGAAATTATGTAATGCTATGAGAAAATTGTTCCAGCATTCTCTAAGTACTGGCTGTTATTGATTGTGTAAGTGCTGAGTGGATAGCCTAGAAATATTAAATTACAATCCTGTTTCACATGCATTCGAATACAGTATTTTCTTATTCTTTGACATGCGCATTTGATTATGTTATCATCTCTTTTGGAATCATCCATCTGAAACATGCCAATAGGAGATAAATAAGAAACAAAAAGTTGATGGAGACATGTTAACAAAAGCTGTTTAATTCTTCATATTGAGCCTGTCCTACATTCATTACCGAGTCCATTTACGTATATTATTTCACAAAGACATTGGTCCACCAACACTTATTAGATAAATAATAAGCCGCTGGATCAACAAAAAAGAAAGTGACTGGAGATTCCACTAGATATTTTACAAAAGGTGTATTTGGGATTGCATAGAGTGTTTTTCCGAATACCAACAAAGGAGTCATGTTGGATGTGAAAATATTGAAATCTTCAAAACTAATAATGCATCCTATTTGAAGGCTGAAGGTGTAGAAAGAAGGGAAAGGTTCATTTGTTATTAACAGAATTCATATTAGTTTCTGCATCCAGAGAGACAGAGTGAAGGCAGAATGGGGACTCTCCTGCCTTTTGTGGGCATGGTGGTAGTGAGTTTGTCTCAAGCTAGCAATATAGTTGTAACCAAAGCAGCTTTGTCAAGAGGGATCAACAAATATGTTCTTATTGTTTACTCTGGCGTCTTCTCAAGCCTCATTCTTCTTCCTTGCTCTTTTGTATTCAACAGGTCTTACTATCTCCATTTACTTTCTCATTCCATACTGAAAGTGTTTTCAAACTATATTCAAATCTGATTTCATGTTTTTTCTTCTGATGGTTGGCAGATCAGCTCGTCTTCCACCACTCACCTTCTCCATTCTCTGCAGATTCTTCTTGCTTGGTCTTGTTCAGTCAGTAGCATGCTTTAAATGCACTTTCTTTCTATTTATATTCTTACTCAATCCCTAGTGGCTTGCTTGATATCAAAGTTTTCTATTCTGAAATTCATTGTGAGAATTCTGATTAATTATTCTTCTCCTTCTGAGTGCAGATGTGTTATAAATGTATGTGCATATGCTGGTATAGAGTACAGCTCTCCTACACTTAGTACAGCTATGCTCAACCTTGTCCCTGCTTTTACTTTCATACTTGCAGTCATTTTCAGGTTCTTCTCTCTTTCAAATTCCAAAAATCTAAATGATTCCACTAAAATTCTTCTGATCATGGCATATGAATTTATCACAAATTTGCTGAGTGCTTTATCTTAAAACTGCTGTTTAGAATGGAAAAACTAGAATGGAGGAGCAGAACCAGCCAAGCCAAGACCTTAGGGACCCTTGTTTCGATTTCAGGGGCATTTGTTGTGACATTCTACAAGGGGCCAACAGTGATGAAAACAGAATCCCTCGGTGTCCCAACTCATCTACTTATTTTCTCACCACAATTAAAGTGGATAATTGGAGCCCTGTTGCTCGCAACTGAAGCATTTATGCTTTCAACAATGTATATTCTACAGGTTAGGAAATTATCAATACCTGCCTTTTATCTAGTCCAAAAAGTTTTTGAAAAATGCTAATACTGATTCTCCATTCTTTTTGGAATCTTGCAGACAATGGTTCTCAAAATGTTCCCAGCAGTTTTTACTGTCATCTTATATGTTAACTTCTTCAATACTATTCTCTCTTCATTTTATTCTTTGATTTTGGTTGAAGACCCAAGTGCCTGGAAGCTTAGACTTGATATAGGATTAATTGCGGTTTTATACTCCGTAAGCTAATACCAATTCTTAATACGTACTATTTTGATCACAAAATTTTAAAAACTGTGGGGCAATCCGAGCTCACCATTTTGTATGATTGCTTCTGAGAAATGCAGGCACTTTTTGGGACTTTTCTGGTTTTCACCTTCTCTGCATGGTGTCTTAGCAAGGCAGGACCTCTCTTTGTTTCCATGTTCAAGCCATTGACTATTATTTTTGCCATTATCATCGAAGTTCTCTTCTTGGGAGATGCTCTTTGTCTTGGAAGGTATCAGAGGAAACAGAGGAAAACTTTTCTCTCTACTGCTTTTCTTTCACTTAGAATTTATGAGCAGAAACTAATGTGGACTGCTTTGTTGCAGTTTGATTGGTGCAATCATAATTGTGACTGGATTTTATGCTGTCATATGGGGGAAAGCTAATGAAGAAGAGAAATCAAGGGAGGAAAGTGGGTTAGGGAGTTTCAAATCATCAAGTGAAAAGGTTCCTTTGTTGCAAGACAGAATAGAAGACATAGGGGTTTCTGCATAAAGAGTCTAAAGACACATATTACACAACTGAATTTTTAAGAAAACCAAGTAGTCCACCCTACAAATTACTGCCATGCTTCAGCAGAACAATTCGGCATTTTCCTACTTGGTTGAGCCTCCTCAGTGAGATTGGCATCCCTTCAGAGATACTTTCATTTAATTACATTCACTGAGCAAATCTTATTGAAGTACTTTACATGCGAGCAAAGTCCTTAAAACTTTCTGTCGTCTTCATAATCATTCTCTAAGTACTGGCTGCAGTCATCATTCAATATCTTGACACCTATAGAAGATTAAATTTCTGTAAGTACTGGCTACTATTGATTGTGTAAGTGCTGGCAGATAGCCTAAAAATATTAAATTTTGTACATCCAGTTTCACATGCGTTTGAGCACAGTATTTTTTTAGTGGCATGTCCTTTGGATTCCATTAGCATCTCTTTTTTAATCATCCAGATAAAATACACCCGTAAGAAATGACTTAGAAACAACAGTATGATGAGATGTATGGTTTTTGGAAATAGAGGATTGTAAGTGCTGAAAAATCAGGAAAAAAATTACTTTTAAATCAGAGACAAATCTTTTTATTGGAAATTTTGAAGCAAAGCAGCCTTCAACAGAAAAAGAAAAGCAGTAGTTATATTATAAGGTAGGTACCAGTAAATTTTATAAAGTTGTCACCAGTGTTTGCACAAAGCCTTGGGTTCCCCAACACTCATTTAAATAATAAGCAGCCGGCTCAACAGGAAGCAAGGAGCTGGAGGTTCCACTAGCTTTTTTACTAAAGAAGTCTTGTCCAACATGAAAATATCTGAAATTTTGAATCCTAATGCATCCTATGAAGGTGAGAGAAGAAGGGAAAGTAACTTTTCTGTTTGTTACTAATAGAGTTCATATATGTTTCTGCATCTAGAGAGAGAGAGAGAGAAAGCAGAATGGGGACTCTCCTGCCTTTTGTGGGAATGGTTATAGTGATTTTGTCTCAAGCTAGCAGCATGGTAGTAATCAAAGCAGCTTTGTCAAAAGGGTTGAACAAATATGTTCTTATTGTTTACAATAACATCCTCGCCACCCTCATCCTTCTTCCTTTATCTTTTATATTTGACAGGTTTTGATAATTCCATCCTCTTCTCATTCCATACAGCTGAAGTATTTTCTTGCTATATTTACTGAAAGACTATTGTACAAATTATCCTGATTTCAAGTTTTTTGTCTCCTGATGGTTGGCAGATCGGCTCGTCCACCACTCACCATCCCCATTCTCTGGAGATTCTTCTTGCTTGGCCTTGTTGGGTCAGTTGCAGGCTTTCAAATTCACTTTCAATTTAGATTCTCACTCTATCCCAAGTTGTTTGCTTGATATGCTAAGGAAAAGGTTTCCTATTCTAAATTTCATTATAAGAAAGTTGATTCATGATTCTTCTCCTTCTGAATCAGGTGTATTATAGAGGTCTTTGCATGTGCTGGTCTTGATTACGGCTCTCCTACACTTGGT